CAGGGCCACTGGATGCATTTGAGCTACCAACTTGTCAGCAGCCAAGGAAAGCTGGCCAGTAAGAACACTGTTCTACCACAAGTCCATCAGTTGTGTTTTGTCTTTCCTCAACTAAACTACCCGGTCTCCACTCACCACGTCATGGTGTTTGGAGCTGGGTGAAACCTGAAGAAACTCATTTTTCAAATGAGGATCATGAATCTGCTATCTCATTTTACCCTACAAATGCCACAGAAGCCAAACAATTCATTGCTCCCCTCATCCATAAAGTCTTGGTATGAAACACTTACCATCCTGACTAAACACTGTGCTTGTTGACATACCAGCTTGACATTTTAGTTCAAACTTCGTAACTTGGCTTGGACCATAACTACAAGTTCCAAGACTGGCACTTGAATAACGCTACCTTCTCTCTTTCAGTCTTGTTCCCAGTGAACAAATGGACACTCATTGACACTCTCAATAAGCAGACACTGATGTGTAAAAGGAAGCAATGAATCATAACCAACAACATCCATTCAACCATAATTGTGGCGCATGTACGATGTACCAGGAACTGTGTTAAACACTGGGGACAAATACTTATACAAACTGGACTTGCTCTTATGGAATTTACATGTTAGAAAACAAATATATCAGACGACCAACAAGCAATCAAATATACAAACAGATAACAATGTTTTTAATGAGTGAGAAATGCCGTGAAGAAAATGAAGCAGAAGATGTGAGAGCAATGAGGGGGTGGGGCTGCTGTCAAAGTGTCCTTTGTGGAAAGGAGTTTTGCATCATCTGGAAGATTGTTAGAAAAGCTGAATCCCAGGCCTACACTAGAACTGCTGAGTCATAGCCTGATGATGCCAGGTAAGCACTGTGCGCAGTACTGAGAGTTTGCTCAATACAGCTTCAGATATGATCGTCTGGCCCCATATACAACTTTTCTAAGGAGGTAACATTTCCCCTGAGAACCCGATGATGAGAAGGAATCAATCCAGACAGTGGGAACATGAAGGAAAATGTTCAGACGTGGAAAGGAACAGGGCAAGACCAGTGTGGCCAGGAGAAAATGAGAAAGGGACCTTGGACCCTCCACTGCTTAATATAGTGAGAATTGTTGAGCTGGGACAACTGCCTAAAGTTTTCTCTACAAATCAGAGCGCCTAGATAGTTTCTTGCATGCATCCACCTCATCCATTGTGTACCCACGAGATATTGCTAATGAATCACAGAATTTTTTCTTAATGAGCCTAGACATAGCAGCAAAATTCTGCTGCTGGATATTCTGAATCTGAATATTCAGGCAGCTACTATAAATGACTCCAGAAGAGGCCGTGGAATGAGGGATAATCATTGCTGATGTCCTATGGATCTTGGCTGAAAGCAGAGAATACCAGAAAAACATTTCCTTGTGTTTTATTGACTACGCAAAGGCTTTTTATTGTGTGGATCATGACAAGTCATGGACAACAATGCCAAGTATATATATCAACGGAGAAAAAATTGAAGTTGTCAAGGACTTCATTCTTCTTGGATCAACCATCAACACTCATGGAAGCAGCAGTCAAGAAATCAAAATGACGTATTGCATTAGGCAAATCGGCTGCACAAGACCTTTTTAAAGTGTTGAAGAGCAAAGATGTCAGCTTGAGGACTACAGTGCGCCTGGCCCAAGCCATGGTATTTTCAATAACCTCATATGCATGCGAAAGCTGGACAGTGAATAAGGAAGACTATAGAAGAATTGATGCTTTTGAGTTATGGTGTTGGAGGAGAATATTGAAAGTGCTGCCAAAAGAACCAATAGATCTGTGTTGGAAGAAGTGCAGCCAGAGTACTGGAGGCCAGGATGGCCAGACTTCATCTCTCATACTTCAGACATATTGTCATGAGGGATCCAGTCACTGGAGGATATCATGTTTGGTAACGTGGAAGATCAGAGAAGAAGAGAAAGCCCACCACCGAGATGGATTGGCAAAGTGGCAGCATCAATGGGCCCAAGCATGGTAACAATTACGAGGTTAGCCCAGGACTGTTGTGTATAGGGTCGCTATGAGTTGGTACCGACTCAATGGCACCTAACAACAACAACTATAAATGGCTCAGAGTTGACGTGCAAACTGAAACCCATTTGCCATCTGGGCAGGATGATTTATTTGCACATTGCTCTCATGTAAGCCATTGCTGTGAGGGCCTATGAATTCAGGTGAACAGAAAAGGATTGGTGGTTCCTTGAATTGTTTCTAGAGCCCTGTGATTTCTAATAGTCCAACAGTTTACACTGAGGGGATCTGAGTGAAGTTTCCGATGGCCATTCTTTATGAGGAACCTGGATTTCTTTCAGGACTAAAACTACAGAAAAAACTATACTTCTAAAACAAAACAAAGCCTAGTTGGCTTTTATCTTAAGAACACCAGAAAGCTGTAAAATGATTCTAGCTCCTTGTTTCTGTGGTTGTTCATTAGATTGAAGTCAAATCTCAGGAAAGCCTTTGACAACTGAGCAGGATCCAATGGCTGCATTAGTCTCCTCTGTTAAGTCCCTCCTCCCCCTTGTTCATTCAAGTATTTCTTTTATTTAATATTGCCTACACAAGAGGAAGTCCAACAGTATTGCTACCAAGCTTCCAATTCACACACGCTGTTGTTAGGTGTTACTAAGTCAATCCTGACTCACAGTGACCCTATGTACAATAGAACGAAGCACTGCCCAGTTCTGCGCCTGGGCCACCTTCACAACCTGTTATATTGAAGCCTATAGTTTCTGCCACTGTGTCAATCCATCTCATTGAGAATCTTCCTCTCTTTCGCTGAGCCTCTATTTTACCAAGCATGTTGTGCTTCTCCAGGATTGGTCCTTCCTGATAACATGCCCCAAGTATGTGAGACAAAGTCTCACCATTCCTCCTTCCAAGATAGATTTGTTTGTTCTGGAAGTCCATGGTATATTTAGTTCGTAGGTACATAGATTTATTTCAAACAAAACATGTTTAAACATGTCTCTACAATCAGGGGATGACTGCTGACAAGTTCACTTTGTAATATATTTATCTCGGTCTCATTAGAATGCTGTCAAAAAAAGGTCCAATCAAAATAGTGGCTTCTGAGGTGACCTGCTGAGCCAGTGACATTCAAGGCAGAGAGGTCAGATCTGAAGACTATGGTGGCTGGTTCTTGCTATTCCAAAGGGATCACCTTGATAGATTTTCTTGAAGGACACAGGACAATCCTAGAGGTTTATTGTTGTTGTTGTTGTTAAGTGTCGTCGAGTCGGTTCCGACCCATAGCGACCCTGTACAGGGTTTCCGAGGGTGTAAATCTTTACAGGAGTAGAAAGCCTCATCTTTCTCCCGCGGAGCGGCTGGTAGTTTCGAACCGCTCACCTTAAGGTTCGCAGCCCGATTCGTAACCACTACACTAAGAGGTTTATTAGGAAATTGAAAACAGCAGTGATGACAAGAAGAGCAGGAAAGTTGTGCCCAGAAAACATTTTTTCCATCACAACAATGCACCTACATATCCTTCCAGAGTACCAATGGCTATCCTAGGAGAATTGCGTTGGGAAACCTTACCCCATTCACCTTCCAGTCCTGATCTTGCCCCTTCGAACTTCTTTTTGTTCCTCAAACTCAAAGGATATTGAAAAGAAACACAATTTGAGTCCCTGGAGGATGCTGAAACTTCCGTTTGGACATAGCGTCAATCAAACATCACAGAATTCCTTGGGGGGACGGGTTAGAGATAGAAACACCACCTTCAGAAGTGTATGGACTTAGAGAGAGAGACTATGTCAAGAAACAATAGCTTCACCTTTTGATGTTGTTGTTTAATAAAGGTTTCCGTGATTTTATAGCAATAGTTTCTGACTGACTCGTATTTTGGTAAAGGTGCCTCAAAGCATCTGTGGAAGACTGTGAGGTAATGTAACTATATACAAATCAACCAGTCCCTTATACAGGCTGCATTTGGTCCCTTTCAGTCAAGAAATGACTTGACAGTTCAGTCATTGTATAAATAAGGGAGGATGCTCAAAATCAGGATGACCTTAATAAAAGCGTTCTGTTAAAAACTGTCCTTCTCCCTTTGTTCCTTCTAGTGCAACATTCTGAATACTCCCATTGTCTTCAGGCCAGAAATGGAATGGAGGGTGGGAAGGAACGGAAGGGTTAACTAATATGTAATCCTAAAATCTTTATTTTGGGCACATGAAGAAATTTAAGTAGCAAATCTTAGTGCTGTAGAGAGGGAAATTATAGCGTAGTGGTTACGAATCGGGCTGCGAACCTTAAGGTCAGCGGTTCGAAACTAGCAGCCGCTCCGCGGGAGAAAGATGAGGCTTTCTACTCCCGTAAAGATTTACACCCTCGGAAACCCTGTACAGGGTCGCTATGGGTCGGAACCGACTCGACGGCACTTAACAACAACAATGCTGGACGAAGGAGTCCTGGTGTGGCGCTGTGGGCTAATGTGTCAGACTGCAAAGTCGTTTGAACTGCAAGGACTGAACTGTGGTGAGCAAGAGCGCGGTCCCCTAATTGTAGTTCCCCAAAAAGCCACTCATGAAGGAATGTTTGGAGTTGGGAGAAACTGAAGAAAGTAATTTTTTAGGAGAGGACCTTAGGTGCGCAGCCTCGCTTAACCTCCGCAAAGCCGGCACAGCGCCCAGCTCCAGGAGCTGAAGGTTTTCCCAGGACAACTCGGGCATGCCCGCGCCCCGTTGATTTCCCCGGATGGGGCTATGAGGTGGGGGGGGGGGGAGTGTGGGGAGCGCGGGGGGCGTGGCTTTGAGAGAGAGGCGGGCCGAGACGGAGCGTGAGGCGTGGCTAGGACCACGGTGTGGGCGGGGTCATGGAGGTGGGCTGTGGCCGGTCGGGGCCAGAGGTTGGTGGCGAGGGCGGTACGTGGTGACGTATGATTGTGACCCAGCCGTACAGGGGCGCGACCAAGAAGGGTGGGTGCTGGAGGGGCCGGAGGGGCGTGGCAAAGCACGAGGGGGCGTGGCCGTGATGGCCGGGTGCGCGGACAGCTACCGAGAGCACACAGCGTGGCTAGCGATCTGGAAAACGCGCAGGTAAGAATGCGAGGAGAACCGGAGTGCGGGAGTGCGGGTGGAAGCGAAACGCAGCGACCCGAGGAGGGGCGGGAACCCCCCACGACTGTTTGCTCTGCACCGGCCCCGGATCTGGGACAGCTGCTAGTGTGCGAGATGTCCAGGGTCTCTGCAGCACGTCCTAGGAGGCCTGGGGTGGGGAGACAGTCGAAACCACCCCCAGCACCCCAGTCTTCTCCCTCCGCCGTGAGGTCACCAGGTGGCTGCACCCCATTGGGAAGCTTTGTACTTGAAGGGAGAACAGCTGTCCTAGGGACCTAGTGGGAAGCGGGGAGGAGCCTTCCTTTGGGAGGGGCGTTGCCGGCTGTGCTTCGATGGAAATGGTAACTCAGGAAAGTGCGCAGGGCCGGTTGTGGCTCCAGAGGCCAGGGCAGCACGAGAGGGCTGACCTGTGCCAGGGACTGTGTGCAGAGTGTCAACCCACCCCCTGTCACCGCGCTGTTAGGTGGAGAAGTCTCAACCTTCTCCACGATTTCCTTTGTGCCCTGCCCCAGAGCTTGAGGAGAAGAAGCTACAAAATGCCAACCTTGCAGGTGGCTGTGACTCTGCCATTCGCTGTGATTTCCCACTCCCCTGAGGCAGGTGATGGCTTCTTAGTATTCATCTCAGTGCCCTTCCCTCTCATGTAGTTTTGCTGGGGAAGTCTGAGAAAGGCAGGGACATCACAAAGATGTGTCCACCTTCAGTGATGGGACTTGGTCCTCTCGGCCACGGACCAAACACGGTGTTGCTTCTGTTTCCCCTTCTTCCTTGCCTGACCATCTGACCACCTTTCCTCTGCTAATTGAAAACCATGCTAGACTTCATGCTAAACCTAGAGGTTTAGGGCCATGGTTTTATGGGACATTCCAATTAATTGACCTAATAACACGTTAAGTACTTCTGTTCTACCTTCTGTCGTTGTTATTAAGTGCCTCGAGTCCGTACCAACTCATAGCGACCCTGAATAGGGTTTCCGAGGAGCGGCTGGTGTGTTTGAACCACCAACCTTGTGGTTCTAACCTACCTTTTGGTCCAGTGCTTTATCCTACAGCAGGACTCCGTTCTACCTACTAATTCCTTGCATAATACCAAGGGTCTTTAAAGCTAGCAAGTGGACATCCAAGGCACAAACATTTCTCTGTCTGAAGCAAACGAGGGCGAAGGAGAATCAGAAATCAGAGGAGGAAATAGGAATGTGTGTTAATGGCTTCCATGAGCAACTAACTGCCTCTTTTGCCAAAAGACCAAAAGAACTGGATGGTGCCCAGTTACCAGTACTGAACCTTTGGATCCAAAATTTCATAAAAGGATCATGATCAAAGGGGGAGGGCAAGTTGTAGAACAGAATTTCAGTTTCTTCTGGATGCTAGACTATCCGGATCCATGGAGGGTGGAAGAACCCCTGAAACTATTGTACTGAGATCATCTTTACACCTTAAACAAAAAAGATCCCCTGAAGGCATATTGACACGGAACAGTTGTTTAGCTTAACTAGTAAAAAAAAATGTCTGCCTTGAGCATTAAGCTTTTTAAAGAACTCTATATGGAGCCCTGGTATGGTGCTGTAGGATAAGCACTGAACCATTAATCGCAAGGTTGGTGGTTCAAACCCAGCAGCCATTCCTTGGAAACCCTATATAGGGTCACTATGAGTCACAACCAACTCAACAGCACATAACAACAGCAACAATATGGAGCTCTGGTGACACTGTAGGATAAACACTGTATTGCTAACTGCAAAGTTGGCAGTTCAGAACCACCAGCCACTCTGTGGGAGAAAAAGATGAGACTTTCTGTTCCTATAAGGATGTACTGCCTCAGAAACCCTATGTAGGCTTGTTATAAATTGGGGTCAACTCAATGGCAGTGGGTTTGTTTTTTGTTTTTGTTTCTTTAAGGGGATCAAAGTAACAACAGCAACCCAAAAGATAGGAACATTAGGGGGCAGTGACTTTATGGTAATGAAGCAAGGGAGAGTGAAAATGGTTGTACAGTTCGAAGAATGCAAGGTGTGTCATAAATGGTCCATGTTGAAACTGTTGAATTGCTGTATGTTTAGCTGTGTGTATTCTCAACAACAACAAAATAATAGTTGGGGATGGGGAAGCTATGCTGGAAGATAGACAGGGTACTCAAGTTTCTATGGTGAGAGAGGGGAGTGAGTGTGTGAGCCCCTGCCCTGAGCTGCCCTCAGATCATCCCTCAAAGCATTTACTGATGACACCCTGAAGCCAGAGATCCAAGGAAACAAAGTGCTCTTACTCCTCCCACCTGGGACCTGGTCAAGAGCAGCCCTGTCCTCCGATATGTTGCAAATGGAAAACCTGTCCACTTTCTAGGGCTTTCCTCGTTTACTCAGAATTTTTTTTTTTTATTACTATGGTGAAAAATCAAGGAGCATCAAAATATTCATGGAACAATTTCATTATCTTTTCATTTCATTTTTCCATGAACTTTTTGAAGCCCCCTTGTATGCACAACAAAACATTTGCCAGTTCAACAGTGTGTAGAATTCCACATGAATAATTTAGTGACAGAGTCCTGGTGTGGCACTGTAGGACAAGCACTGGACTGCTAACCACAAGGTCGACAGTTCAAACCCATCAGCTGCTCCTCGGAAATCCTATACAGGGTCACTGTGAGTCAGAACAGACTTGACGGCACTTAACAACAACAATTCAGGGACATTGATTCCTTCTTTGTGTTGTGCAACCTTTATAACTGCCCATTTCCAAATTTCCCACTACAATTAGTATGAACTCAACACCCCAAATGCAAAAACTCCCGCTTTCCCTTCTTCCTCTACCCACTGCTATAGAGTCAATTGCAAGTCATAGCGACCCCTCTAAGACAGGGTAGAATTGCTCCCTAAGGTTTCCAAAGCTGTAACTCTGTATAGGAGCAGACTTTCTCATCTTCTTGTAAGAAGTGACTGGTGGCTTTGAACCAGCAACTTGTGGTTAGCAACCCACCATACTACCAGGGCTCCTTTGCTAGCCCTGGTAACCATAAAGCATCTTTGAATCATCTATATTTGCCTACTGCATAGAAGTGAGATCCTACAGTGTTTATCCTTCGGCACTTGACTTCGCTCAGCATAATGTTTTCAAGGTTCATCCTTGCTGTAGCATGCTTGGTATTGTTAAGTGCCATCGAGTTGGTTCCGATTCATAGTGACCCTTTATAGAGTTTCCGAGGAGCAGTTGGTAGGTTTGAACCACCAACCTTCTGGTTATCAGGCCAGTGGTCATCCTACAGTGCCACACCAGGCATCCCTGTAGCATGCAGCCGGACTTTATTTCTCTTTATGGCTGAGTATCAGATTGTTTTAAAGTCAGTAGCCAGGCAAGAATTCACCAAAAGATCCACAGCAGCCCGGGCCCGTCCTCTGTGCCTGTGCACACCTGCCCTCTCCCCCACAGAGCCAGGCAGAAGGCCCACGCGCTCCCAGGTGGGACACAGTAAAGGGTCAGTAAACTGACCAGGACCAAGACTATGATGGAACCCTCGAGGAAAGAGGAAACCACGTCTCCTGTCTTGGGCTGCACTGGGCCAATGCATTGAACAGAGTAGTTGTTAGGAATTTCTTGTGAAACATTTGGCAACCCCAGAGTGGGCTCATGCTCTCAGGGAAAAAGTGGGTGAGAGGAAGACAATCTGAGCTTTCTTGGGGAAACAGGAAAATGTAACCTCTAATTGTGCTTTCAGGGGATTGCAAGAGGCGGGCTTCCTTTCGAAATCAGGAGGTGAAGAAACAAAGAGGCAATCTGGTGAGAATCGAGGAGGGGTATTTCAGTGTAATTGTAACCTTTACTTATATTTTTGTCGTTGTTGTCTATATTACGTAAGTGTAAATGGTTTAATCTGGCAGAGTTCAAATGACTAGGGATTTAATAAAGACATAGTGTGAGTGATTCTTTGAGGGCTTTTAGAAGCTTTTCTCTCTGTCACACATTTCTAAATGTGAAAAGTAGCACATAAGGGTCGTGCTAGTAAGACCCAAGGACACACAGCACATCCATGATCAGTAGTAGCTAAGAGCAGATCTCAGAAAGCTCCACTCACCGGTGGCCGGTCTACCCCAGCTTCCATCTTTATGGACAGACTTCAGTACAGGCTGATCGTCTGAAGTTTGTCATTATGTGTGATGGTTAAACATTACTTGTGGTTTCGCAGGCTTGGTTTATGAGGCCAGTGTGGAAGTTTAAATAACCGTCTTTCAATAAATCATTACTTTAAAGCAGCCTTCAAACTGGCCAACAAAGTACAATCAGAACAGACCTGAATTTTTAAAATTGGGGTGACCTAGACCACTACCTGTAATGGGGAAATTAGGGGCGGAGGCCTCAGAATGGGAGACTTGGAAGAGGTGTGGTGAGCTCTTCCAGGCCCCTGATGTGGGAGATTGGATTCCTGGCAGGACGATGCAGAACCACATGTGTTTAAAGTGGCACAATTGCCACCATCTTTGAGCCGAGCACCACTGTTTCCCACTCAACTCAAAATCCCATGAACAAAAGATCTGGTTGTTATACAACAAGCATTGTTTTAAAGAGGGGGAGTAATTTTCTAGATGGGCTTTGACCCACAAATTTTCCTCTTTTGGTTATCCTTCCACTTCCCCAAAATTCTAAAAATTTGTGTTTGTTCTGGCTTCACTTCCTTGGCCATGACTGAACCGGGACGAACTGGGTTCGAAGCTCTGCTTTTAAGAGCTTTGATTGACCTTAAGCAACAATGCTCAATCTTATGGACTAACACCCCATCTCTGAAGTGTCTATGGGTTTTGTGTCTTAGTGTATAAGTTCATATAGTTTCTAAAACCTGAGCCCACTGATGACTTACAATTACTGAGTGTGTTTGCCAAGATCAACATTATTTTATATATTTGAAATCTTGTTCTAAAACTTCATGTAGTGAATGATGCTTTACTCATAGATAATTATAAATAACAGTATACAACAGTTACATTTGGATTCCATGTTAGCTATTTTTTTCTATGTGCCTATACTTCAAAATATAACATATTAACATAAGCTAAGGGGATATCTTTGTCAATGGTGCAACATAGTTTATAAAGACAATTGAGTGAATGGTGAGTGTTTTGGGGGGTAGAATCAGCCCAGGGCTGATCCCTATGAGGAGGAGGTCAGATATGCCTGCACCCTCCAACCAATTCTGACACCAGCCAACCCTCCATGGCCTTCTACTTCTTTGCTAGGTCTGATCATTCAGTGCGGTGGCCACACAGAACTCCCAGACAATACTTACAATTACGGGGTTGAGTAGGGAAGTTGACAGTATACAAATTCAGGATCAGAAATGCTCAAGAGACAACAGCTCTCTGGGCAGGAGAATCTCTTCTCAGCCATAGCTGCAAGCTTGTCTCTTTCTTGCCCTCAGTCCCTCAACTATGCAGCGCCTTGACCTCTGCCCTACTCAGCCAACATGACTGATCTCTGTCAGCACTGCTGATAAATGCCGAAAGGGCACACCACTCTCCCATACATCTCAACCCAAAGGCACTCAGCTCTAGACCATGGGGCAACAGACTCAGTTCCTTAGAAGTGAGAGGGCTCAGAACTATGGCGCTTACAACTGGAACCTCAGAAATTATAACCAGCAGTTCAGAAGTGAGGAATCCCAAGTAGGGATTCCCATGCTTTTGGCTGGCATCCCAATGAGGTACAAAGAAACTCCGAATTTGTAGTCAACGGGTCAGAAGTTAGGGCACCCCGGAGGACTCCCATGCCTGTAGGATTAGAGGGAAAGCCTCAATTTATAGGCAATGCATCAGAAGTTGGAGTCCTGGTGTTGCGCTGTGAGTTAATGTGCTGAACTGCAAAGTTGGTTTGAACAGCAAGGTCAGCAGTTCAAGCTCCTTGGAAACCCTTTACAGGGTCACTATGGGTCAGAACTGACTCGACAGCACTTAACAACAACAACATCAGAAGTGAGTGTGCCATGTGGACTCCCAAACTTGTGGCTGGTGTCTGACTATGTGGCAATCTGGAGAAAGAAGACAGGGTCCTTTTAACTTGTGAGATCTGACACAGCCCTAAGTGACAAGGGGCATAAAAGGCTGCATGGGCAGTGCGTGTCAGAACTGAAGAGAGAAGGCAAAAGTGGGGATTTGATTTCTGTGGAGTATCATCCTTGAATCTTGCCAACTAGGTTGTAAGCAAAAAGGGAATTTTTTTCCCCTTCTTTACCCGCCTCCTCTTGACACTTAGCACATGGGTCTTGGGATAGTTTATTGAATAAACCCAAAGTTCCTTTCATTCCAACCCCAGTTCGCTCTGGCCTAGGCCTGTTGTGTGTCCTTACCATCCCTATGGTTTCCACTATCCTTCCACTTTGTCCCCCAATTCCAATTGTAAGGCCACCGCACCTGAAAGCTAAGCAACTCTGCCCTCCGTGTCCAATGTGCTGTTACTGTGCCCAGCCTTGATTAAGAAGTCTGTGTTTAAACAGCTTTTCCAGGTAGATTGCGTGCTGGTGGGAGTTGGGACAGGGTGGGAGGTGGGGAAAGTGGGGACAGCCTGTCCATTGTCTCTTTCCACCAGCTCAGGGCCTTGCCCGAGAGAATCATTTACTGCGTCACTTCAGAACCGGAAGTCCACTCAAAGGAAGCACAGCATGAAGGCAAGAGTTGTCCCAAGTCTTTAGCAGTTTTAGAAACTTCATTTTAGTATCAAATGAATTTCCTCAGAGGAAATCCTGGCCAATTACAGTTCCTTGGTGGCATTGGCTTAAAAAGAAAAAAGAAATACATTAAGAGTCATCCAATATAGAGCTCAGTTTATTGGTGGTTAACAGGGCCAGGCAAAGAACAAAACCAAACTCTGCCATTGAGTGAATTCGGACTCATAGTGACCCTGCATAAGGTTTTCGAGGCTGTAAATCTTTTCTCGTGTGGGTTTGAACCACTGACCTTGAGGTTAGCAGCCCAGATCTTGAGGTTAGCGCCACCAGATCTCCTAACAGGGCCAGAAAGGAGAGGGAGCTGGTGATGACAAATGTGGCAGCAGGCAGTGAGGAGTTTCATTCATGTACATGTAAAAAATGGAAGGGGTTTTTGTTAGACGTATTTTGCCACACTTAAAAATATATTTTGAAGAAGGAAAAGATGACTGTCCAACAACAACAAAATAAAGACATTTCAAAGAAGAGGGATAAGAGGGAGGGGAAAAAAAAAAAAAAAAAAAAGGAACCCTTTCTCCACTGCTTTCTATTGTCTTCATTTAGCATTTAAGTCCAAAGTTCTTGTCATTTACATTTTAGGAAGGTCATTCTGAATCTGAGTAACTCGTGTTTATATCCTATTTGGAAGCTGTCTCGGACCTCACCCTACTTGAAATTACAGAAAAAGCCAGTTTAGTGCTTAGTCTTGCTGGCCAATTCTCCCCTGCTCCTCTGGTCTGGACTCTCTGGTATACATCCAATCTTGATCTAGAACATTTCCACTCCTTTAATCTTTTGACTCAGTTTAACAACAATGATAAATTAGAGCGTTTCCTGCTGACCACAGTCTTACAAGTTAGACTCAAGCATCACATTGGATTGAGGGATCAAAGCTGGGTTCTGAGTGGTGGCTCAGGGCATAAGTGTGTAGGGCCAGTGGTTCAAACCCACCAGTAGCTCTCTGGAAAAAAGGTAATGGGCTCCTATATCTATTACAGTTTAGGAAACCCCGTAGGGCAGTTCTACTGTGTCATACAGGGTCACTCTGCGTGACTGAGAGTCAGGATCAACTCGATAACACCTAAAAACAGTAAAAATCATACGTTAGGAGAAAGCCTGTTGAGTTACTGGGATTTTTTTGCTCTCTATTCTTGAATTTGAAAAAATCAACAGTTTTCAGAATCTGCCAGTAAACTATTTCATATAGTTCATTTTTATGGGGCTGCAATTTCATATAGTTCGTTTTTATGGGGAAGAAACCATGAATTAGGACATTTTCCTATGAAAACGAAAACCGTGGCTAAATTGATAGGATGCCTGGGCTTTGCTTCACAATAATCAGGGACTGAGGCGGGGGGGGGGGGGGGGGGGGGGGGGGGGGGAGGTGTGGCAGCCTACAAATCAATCAGACTTGGCCATGAATTAGTACTTACTGAAGTAGAGTATTAGGCACATAGGTGGTTATTAGACTGTTCTCACGATGTTTGTCTTAGTTTGGGGTTTTCCATAATAAAGTTGAGGGGAAAACCAAAACAGAATCCAGTTCTAAATTGAGGTGACCAGTGGTCTATGACTCCGGGCCCAGTCAGTTATTTCACTGAATAGCTGAATAACTCTTCGCAAAGCCGGTGTTCTTGTCTGGCTCCAGGAACTAGCAGTGTGTCTTAATAATCCTGAGTCAGACTTTTGCATGTTTCAAACACAGTGATTCTCCCTCTGTTCAGACATTTTGAGCATGCACGCGTCCTCCAAAGATATACCTACCAAAATACATACATTTAAACCAAACAAGCCTGGTTGTTATGGATTGAATTGTAACCTCCCCCCACCCCCAAATTAAGTGTCACCTGGCCCATGAATCTTAGTATTATGTCATTTCTCTCCATTTTGTGATCTGATGTAATTTTTCTCTGTGTTCTAAATCCTTACCTCTATGGTGTTAATTAAAGACTCAGGATTAGTGACAGTTATGTTAATGAGGCAGGGGACCCGGTCTCTATGTTGTTGTTGTTGTTATTGTTAAGTGTCAGTCCAGTAGGTTCTGACTCATAGTGACCCTGTATAGAGTTACCGAGGAGCAGCTGGTGGGTATGAACTGCTGACCTTGTGGTTCGCAGTCCAGTGATGTTCCTACAGCACCACACCAGGAGGCCATAGTCTCTATAGTTTTAGGTGTATCTTGAGGCTTGAGTCACTCTCTTTTGAGATATAAAAGAGGTTAGACAAGCAAGCAGAGATAGTGGGAACCTCATGAACACCAAGAAAGAAGAGCTGGAGGGTCTTTGGACCCAAGGTCCCTGTGCTGAGAAGCTCCCAGGTCCAGGGAAAGGTTGATGTCAGGACACATGGAGATCCCCAAGGTATGTCCAGTCCACAGGACATTCCCCCAGAGCCAACAGAGAGCGAAAGCTTTCCCCTTGAGCTGGCACCCGGAATTGGGTCTAATAGCCTCCTAAACTGAGAGAATGAACATATTTGTGTTTGCTAAAAATATCCACTTATAATATTTCTGTTATCACAGCATTAGATGATTAAGTCAGTGATTTTAACTTTGCTTTGAGAAGTCAGATACCTTCTGGGATTGCAGACATATGTGAGGTGTCCCTAGCCTAAAGACCCCAGGTAAGGAGGTGGGAAAACCCAAGATTCAAGCTTCCTGCCAAGCCCCTGGAATAGGGCTGCCATCCTGAATCACACTGGTGGTGGTGGTGTCAAATGGAGTCAGTTCCAACTCCTAGCAACCCTGTATGGGGTTTCCAAGGCTATAAATTTTTACGGGAGCAGAAAGACGCTTCTCTCTCCCACGGAACGGCTGGTAGTTTCGAACTGCTGACCTTGAGATTAGCAGCCTGACTCGTAACCACTACGCTACCAGCGCTCCTTCAAATCATGAAATCAGTCCCTGCAGTGGAACCCATGCAGATCAGGGAAACTGACTCCTGCCCTGCAGTGCTTTCTTTTATAGTCATTGTCTAGGCAGATGTCTTGTTGATTGTCCATGAATGATGTCCTTTATGTGGGCTTGTTCATCTTTGCATCAAAGCACCTAACACAGTATTGGGAGCCAAGTGAACAACACCTGCTCTGATTACCTGGCGGGATTAATCAATCAAGTACAGGCGAAACGAGAGGGCTTCTGGGAAGGAAGAACATCTGTACAAGCCCTGAGTTTGACAGAGCTACAGGACTTGGAAGAAGTGAAGTCCAAGTGTTGAGGGAAGGAGCAGGCTATGGACAGGAGACTGGGAGCTGGGCAGGGCCCGGTCACAGTGTGGGTGTGGCCCTGTGGCTACACATGCTCCTGATTGCTCAAACCAAGCCCCCAACCAGTTGTTTGAATTCTTCCCAAGCTGTGGCGCTGTGGGTTAATGCGCTGGACTGCAAAGTCAGTTTGAACTGCAAGGTCGGAAGTTCAAGCTCACCAGCTGCTCCTTGGAAACGACTTGACAGCACTTCACAACAATAACAACAAACCGCTCATAACTGTTTCACATCTAGAATTGCAGTGATGTGTCATCTAGAAAACTATCATTTCTACACTTGTTTTCAGGAAAAATGGATGGAGCAGTATCAGGGGAGGGAACAGTGGGGCAGCTGTGGTCCAGTTGATCATGGTTTCAGAACACAGCATTGGATTTCAGGAAACGGGAGTGTTGACAGTCTGTGAATGGTGCGAGGTGCGCGTGTGTAAGGGAAGTCACAATGTGTACTCAGTGTGAACCTACCTGTAGATTAAACCAGGGTTACCTTCTCCACTTTCCTGTGTTGGATGGACATCTAAACTACAGTTGGCCATGAGTCACAGATGACAGACAGATTTCAGACCCGCCCATGACAATTTTGGCAGGATGTATCTTGTTTGCTCAGTGTAATCTCAAAGCAGATCCATTGTTTTTACTGAAACTGACTGGAGGGAGCTTAATCTTTGGTTTTTCCTACTGGCTTGACAATTAAGTGGAATTTCTGGAAGTCCATTAAAAAACAAAAAAATTCAGAAACTGTTCTAAACAGCCTTTTCATTCTCGTGCATAAAGAGACAGGGCTCCCTAGACCTCTAATATTTACTAGCCCTGAGGGAAGGCAGAGCATGAGTCAGTCTGCCCAGGCCCTGCCCTCCTCCGAGGTGACCCATGAGTTTGAGAAGCCAGAGTGGATAACTGATTAGTTCTCCTTTGGGGCGCCCTCCCTCTATCCCTCCCTCCCTTCCTCTGGGTGTGTTCTAATAGTCTAAATGTGGTCGTCCTACTTAGAGGTGGCCACAGAATCTGAAGTCTCATTGTTTTCAGCTTTGCCTCCTCTGCTCTTCTGCCACTAGGGTGTTAGGCTCTTGCAAGTTACTTGGAAACTGACCAAGACTGCAAGCCATTGGTGGTGGTGATGACTAGCCTGCGGCGCCTTTGTCAAGTGTTTCCATACACAATGCCCTGGAGAAGAAGCCAGATTCCCAGGCCTGTGCCCAGGCGGCCCTGCAGCCTATATACCTGCACTTACAAAACCCGGAACCGAACCTGTGAGTACACTGCTCGCTGCCTTCTGCCAAAGGGAAAGGCTTGTTTGATAACAATCACTTGCGTGAGAGATTGGCCGGGTGGACGTCATTGGTATTCCTGTCTGTGGTTATAGCGCTTAAGAACTGGGCGACCAACCAGTCATTTCCCTATTTGTCTTTGACAATCAGTGTGGAAAGATCCTGCCTTGACCAATTTTAAAATGTGAAAATGATGCCATGCAGAAGCAGGACCAGCAAGACTCATCCCAACCCTGATAATTTCAAATGCTTTGGAGCCTGTTTTTTATTATGTCTAAGAGGCAGCAATTTTATTCTTATGAAGGTTGAACTACAGGCTGTAAGGTTTTCATGGGAAACCCAACTGTCTGGATATCGTCCATGCAAGCAGTTCAGTACCTTCACACTTGGAATTACTCGGTCCTATTGTTATAAATTGCAGTCAGTTGTAGCTACAAGTGTATGTGCTGCTGCAAACACGGACAAACAAGTGAGTCTGGAAATGGCACCTTTTGGAAACACAGGGAATAAATAAATAGCTGTCATCCGGGGACTCAGGAGATAGCTGGATCATTCTTTTTTGCGAAAGCTGTCCTGTGCACTGTAGGTGTTGAGGAGCACCCATGGCCTCTCCCCCACTAGATCCAGTAGCATCCCACCCCAAGTTATAACAACCCAAAATAATTCCAAAGTGGGAGGACACCGTTGCTCTGATTAAGAACCACCGAGATGATGAGGATTGGGAATTGATAACATGTGGGTTGGTTGGTGGAGCAATGCTTCTGCTATGTGCTGTCGAGTCAGTTCCGACTCATAGTGGCTTTGCATAGAGTTTCTGAGGCTTTAAATCTTTATAGGAGCAGAAAGCCTCATCTTTTCCCTGAAGAGCGGCTGGTGGATTTGAGCTATTGACCTTGCAGTTTGCAGCCGACTTCATCAACTACCACGCTAAATGGCTAAGGATATATTGTAAAGAGGAGTCTGGTAGGATTAGCATGGGACAGCTAACCACAGAGTTGGCAGTTCAAACCCACCAGGTACTATGAATCGGAACTGGCTCGATGGCACCCCACAACAACAAAGAGGAATTTTTCATGTTTCCCCCATTTTTAAAACAATAGTACAAGATTCTCAAATGTTGACTGGCTTCCAGAGTATTCTTTGTGTGGACTCTCTTGATCCCATAAGCACATCAGAAATGGAAGTCATTAATATTGCCAATCTGGTCAAGTCTGAGGGCATGAAGCTACTCTATAAATAGATTTTATTCTAAGTTCATAGTCCTCCAACATTGACTGTGCCCCTCATGAAAAGAAATAGGCACAAGTCATGACAAGTTTCGGTTGCTAGGTGTAACTTCCTAGGGACATGCCCACATCCTAACCCTTTCTGGCTTTTTACTTTGGCACTTTGTGGTCTAAAGCTGAAAATGGAAAACATTAGTCATAATTGTCTGGCTACTAAAGTTGCTTGTTTTCCGGTTCTTTTTTTTTTTTTTTTTTGCCTAAAGTTAAAGATTTAAAATCCAGTATGATTATGTCTTTAGGATCGTGTGCTCCTTTCAATGTTGACCAAAAAAAACCCCAAAAGGAGTGATTTGGGGACTTGGACGCTTCACCTGATTAATTTTCCACATCACATGAAATGTTCTTGTTTTGTAAAGTACTTGGAAAAACAAGGTGACAGTCCCCATTTGAATTTGCTTTTAGCACATGCGCTGTCCTTCATTGCTCTGGGTCACTGATCACATACAGCCCAGGCCCTTCATCTGCTGGAAGTTCACTACTCCAAGAGAAGGTTCAATGTACACTAGTGACCACAATTTCCCCAAGGATGCTAAAGATCAGAAAAGATCACATGGTACAGTCCTAGCTAGTGCCTGCCACACAGTGAGTACTACTCAGTTGGCCACTACGCTGGTACTTCGATTGCTGTTACCATCAGCAGCATCTTTATCATCATCACTGACTCACTCACTGTCTCTTTCAGATTTGTCAGCTGGACATAGTAAATCCAGCAAGCCATCTTTCACTATCCTTCCCCTAGGTCAGGGGTGGGGAACGTCTTTATAAGGCCCACAGAATCATTTGGTCTTACCCTGCCAAGGCAACCTCAATTGCAGCCATCACCTTGTTGTTGTTGTTGTTGATATATGCTGTGGAATCAGTTCAGACTCATAGTGACCCTGTGTAGGGTTTTTGAGGAGCAGCTGGTGAGTTTGTACTGCTGACCTTGTGGGTCACACACAGTCCGTTGCTGATCCTACAGTGCCACACCAGGAGTTAATTAAATGTTTGACCAAAAACAGCAGGCTAATTTTTAAGTTGATACATTTGTATGGCCCACAAATGATATTATAAATTTTAGCAAATTTCTTGGCATAGATGAGTGAAATTAGCAGCTACTATTTTGGGTATTTCCATCTTCACAGAACATTTTATTGTACAGTACTCAGTTATATTATGGAATCCTTGTGTGGTGCTGTGGATTAACGCACTAGACTGCAAGGTTGGTTTGAACTGCAAGGTTGGCAGTTCAAACTCACTAGCCACTCCTCAGAAACCCTATATAGGGTCGCTGTGAGTCGGAACTGACTCGACAGCACTTAATAACAGCTATATTATAACTGAAGGAGCTCTGGTAACGTAGTAGTTATGAATTGGGCTGCTAATCTCACAGTCAGCAGTTTGAAACTACCAGCTGTCCCGTGGGAGAAAGATGAGGCTTTCTGCTCCCGTAAAGATTTACAGTAAGGTCGATTTGAACCACAAGGTCGGTGGTTCAAACTCACCAGCTGCTCCTTGGAAACCCTGTACAGGGTCACTATGAGTTTGAACTGACTCCACGGCATATAACAACAACAGCATATTATAACTGAACTTAGTTAGAAAGGAGTTCTGTTATTTCACTAGTAAATTTTGATGAGCACAGTGAAGTTTGGAGCACAATAGTATTAAAAAGCTTGTTTGCAATCTCTTCAAAAGCACTTCAGTAGCTCCCAGGTTAAGGCAAACTCAGTTTGCCGTAGACTGTCTTTCATTGACATTTGAAGAAGCCTGAGACATAGTGGGTTGGTTTTGAATCCCTTAAGGAGCTCTGGTAGCGTAGTGGTTATGAGTCCGGGCTGCTAACCACAAGGTCAGCAGCTCGAAACTACCAGCCATTCCATGGGAGAAAGATGAGGCGTTCTGCTCTGGTAAAGATTTACAGCCTCAGAAACCCTGTACAGGGTCACTGTGAGTCGGAACCAACTCCATGGCACACTACCTTTGAATCCCTTAGAATTGTTTTAATGGCCTTAGGTGTATTTTCAGCTGCCAGGGGTTCACAAAAGAAACCCTTGTGGGTGCCATGGTTAAATGCTTGGTTGCTAACCAAGTGCTCCATGGTTTCACCCACCAGCTGCTCTACAGCGCCCTAGGAGAAAGATGTAGCGGTCTCCTTCCAGAAAGATTAAACTCACTGTCAATGGGCTCTGACTCATAGCCACCCTGTAGAGAGTAGAACTGCTCTCTAGGGTTTTTGAGACAGTAAATCTTTACAGAAGTAGACTGCCTCATCTTTCTCCTGTGGAGTTGCTGGTGGGTTCAGCCTTTCAGTTAGCAGCCAAGTGCCCAGCTTCTGAGGGTTCCTTGTGGAAGAAATTCTCAAGATGGTCCATCTTCAGAAATAAAGGTTGCATGAGATTGCTAGACCAGACATAGGTTATTGATTCAGACCCAGGGATATTAAGCAAGATGAATTGGAGGAAGGGGAGAAAGAATCCTGTTCTAGGACTAGGAACTTTAAATAAGAATACAGTCAATTAAGACCATGGGCACCATTGGCGTAGATTGTGGAACTGGAGGAGGGGCTTTTTCGAGACAGGGGGATAAAACTGTTTGCGGGCTGACCATGCAGTGCATCTGCCTGTCTACTGGGTTGGGTGCCCAATTTTGCAAAATTGAATAAAGAAAACCTCACTTTCACTACAATGAGTACAGATTGGATTCCTTGAGTGTTTGTCAGTAGCGACAACATTTCTCACACTTGGAAGCCCTATGGAGCGGTTCTACTCTTCTCCTGTAGGGTTGTGATGAGTCCAAGTTGACTTAACGGCAATGGGCTTGCTTGTTTGGGATGATAAGTAGAGTGGCTCTTTTGATGGCCTAGGTTCAGTATCCAAGTGCCTTTTACATCCTGTCTGCTCCGTCAAGGCCACCAGTGATCATCCATGCAGTCTGTCTGCAGATCATGACTGTGCTAAATAAGCCTTAGGCCACAAAGAAAAAGCAAAACAAAACCCCACTACCACTGAGTCCGTTCCGACTCATAGCAACCCTGCATAGGGTTTCCGAGGCTGTCAGTCTTTATGGGAGCAGGAAGGCTCATCTTTCTGCTGTGGAACGAGTGGTAGTTTCGAACTGCTGACCTTGAGGTTAGCAGCCGACTCATAACCACTACGCTACCAGAGCTCCTTATGTGGGCTATAGTAGACTGCAAGGTCGATTTGAACCACAAGGTCGGTGGTTCAAACTCACCAGCTGCTTCTTGGAAATCCTCTACAGGGTCACTATGAGTTGGACTTGATTCAACAGCACTTAACAACAACAGGCCATCCCAAGCCCCTTTCCTGAACCCACAGGAGCTCTGAGAGCAAAATAGTAAACACTTGGTTGCTAAGTGAATGGTTGGCAGTTCAAACCCACCCAATAACTCTCTGGGAGAAAGATTTGGCAATCTCATCCCATAAAGTTTATAGTCTAGAAAACTATGGGGCCATTCGATCATGTCACATTGGGTCGCTATGAGTGCGACTTGACTCAGTGGCATCCAGCAACAGCAACATTCAGTAGATAAAGAGGTGGCTTCAAAGAGTTCATGGGAACATGGAATTAAAAGATAAAGGCATTTTTCCACAAACATTTCTGAAGCTCTTTCATCTAAGGCGAGCCACAAATACAAGCCCCAGAGGTAATTCAAATTTTCTAGGCGCCTTACTTTTAAAAACTTAGAACACACAT